TCAGCTCTTCTATGACTCCACAGCAGATTTACAGATCTCTATAATGTAATGGCATTTCAGTACACACATCTAGCTCCCTGCAAAGACCAGACAGACTCTTTTTTTTTTTTTAAATAATTTGACTCTATATGAGACTTTTATGTACTTCTCTTCATTAGGATTCCTTGTTAGGGTTTATTTACCGTGTATTTCTTCCTCCTGGGCTTTCTGTGCTCTCATAACCTGCTGATGTAACGTTAGATTTCCAAGTTTGGGATCAATAAAGGACATCCATCTGTCAATCTGTGTATCTATCTCCATCTGTGCCACATGCTCAACAGAGAGCTGGTTAGTATCGATTACATCCGAGGTGGACACACAGGGAAGTGAAGCATAAAAACCTGAACTCTTCTGCTTTGGAGAGAGTCAAAGAATTGAGTTATTTTCACCTGTTTGATTACAGCTGAGCATTTTCTCTTTTGATTGAATACTTCTTGTAGTGGAAGAAGTTGTATGGCCAATTACAGAACGGGTGCATGTTGTGAACACATGGAGCTCGGTGACGCGGCCACACTGAGCTCGGAGTGTCACAAGACAATCATTTTAAACTTTGATACAACACAAGAAAAAGTCAAGAAATGATTAGAATATCTGTTTCGACACCACGGTGACAAAATTAGAATTACAGAAGTTAGGTACCCAAAATTGGAAAACAAATTGTACAAATACGTCTAAAGTATTTTTGTAATGTCACCTCCTCTGCTCTCTGTGTGTTTGTAAGAGACATAAAATGTAACTTGTTTCATGTCAAAAGGACTTCATGAACGTCAGTATTTGCTGATCTGAGAACTGAATCTACCACCACTGCTCACTCTCAGTCACTCGCAGCAGCTTTGGGATAAATTATGACTAAAGATCTGGAGTTTTTTTTTTTTTTTTTCAAATACTTTGGTACTGTTTGATACAATGAATCATTAGGGATAGGGATTGTATTGTTTGGATGATATCTTATTAGAGGGGCGGAAGTAGTTCACTCTATCGGGAACCGGAGGGTCGCCGGATCAACTTCCTGTGCAGACCAAAATATGGAAGTTATTCTGGTAGCTGGAGAGGAGCCAGGTCACTCCCTGAGTACTGCAGAGGTGTCCTTCAGATCTGGTGCTCTCCCTGTGTAGCAGACCTTGCTCTATTAATGCATGTCAGCAGGTCATGTGTGTGTTGCAGGTCTGTGTGTCTGAGAAGAATTCTCTCAACAAGAGAGTATAAAAAACAGAATTTCCCCTTTATTATTTAAAAAATAAAAAGTGTGTCTAATGTATTTTGATCACCTTACACTGTGCACTAAATTGAAGCTAGATCCCTCTGGTTCCCCAGATTCCTGATCTCAGGTAGACGGTCTAACCTTCCCTGTGAGGTTGTGGAGGCTCAGCGTTTCAAAGTAGATGATATCTTCCTCCCCTGGAGAAGTGGAGTATTTCTTATCGGCTGTTTTTGTCCTCCTCTCTGCAGCCTGTCTTCACCTCTCTCTGAAGACAGGCTGACATCTTTTCTAACACATGCCGAGATGCTGCTCAGCATCCGTATCAACTCTTAAAAGAACAAAACTGTTTGTGTTCTTAAGCCACCAGACACAAGCTCATTTTTAAGTTAATCTTCTGAAACTATGTGATTCAAGAGTCTGATAGTGTGGGAACCGTCATTGCAAAATTGTCAATTTTTTGGCCGCTGCTTTGGCGCCCCCCTAATGGTCTCTGGTCCCATTGTTGACCAGCAGCACCTCTGGGCCCCGAGTACTGAAAGTGATTATTAGGGCCAGAGCAACATCGGTACAGAAGTCATATTGTCTGTGTAAAGAATTTCTGTGCCGAGTTACTCACATTTTTGAGGGCCTAAAATATGACAGTACAAAACCTCCCTAAGGGGGTCCCATGACAGACTGTTATAGCACCGCTAAGAGTTCCAATATTCCCGTGATAACTTCAATGTGTCACTTAAAGTTGGTGTCCGATTATTTTTCAACATAATAGCAATGAATGCCAGTTTGAGCGGCCCCCAGTGAATTTTGCTGAGGGCCCCAACAGACTCTAGAATCGCCCCTGTTCCCACATCTACTGAACAGTTGTCACTGCACATTGTCTATTTAACTCTGGTATTGAGATTTGAAATGATATTACTGTGGAGCATCAAGAAGACGTTTTGCTTCTCTGTTATTGTTTTTATTTGGTCGGTTACGTACTTCAGTCTTCTCTACAACCCGCTGTGGGTCTGTGTTCATGCAATATGGAATTAAAGCTGCATTCTTGCCAACGTGATAATAAAAGTGCCTCGGTGCGGCGGTTATGTTTCACTGCAGTCTGATTTGAGGCACAGATGCATAAATTGAAAGCCTGAATCCTACACGTCCTCTCCTCATCTCAGTTTATCACTGTCAGCGTGTTGATTCATTCACTGTTTCACTTCATTTTTCATAAACACCATCCGCCCTCTTGGAGGATGAAAAGTTGTTTTGAAGATGATCTTGGCTTTTTACAACTTTTTTTTGCTTCAGACTCTTCTTTGCGTTGAGAAGTGTGTGAGGGAGCGCTTGAATAAAAACAAGTTGAATAATGCAGCTCGATCAGGCAGCTCAGGTCGGCTCTGTGGAGTTAAATGTGTCAGCGTGCAGCTCCACAGTCCACAGAGAAGAACACAGGGCAACGTAACCTGACAAATTCTAAACCCCAACTTTCAGACAGGCTTAACACATCTCCTCTCCGCTACAAAAATCAACACCACGGATGCTCATTCATGACTCTCTCTGACCGTCTGTGGTGGCAGTGGGATGCCGCAGCATCAGTGGCTATGAGCTATTTAGAGGCAGCAGCAGTCTGCCATCTGCTGAGGATACGTCTAATAATGTTGGCTTTGACATGCAGCCAGGAATCAATCCTCATCGACACAGGCTGCAGCCAGCTGGAGCTCGTTCCTCTAAAGGATAAGTCATTATTTAAAAAGGGGCATGTTAAAGTTTAGTTTATAATAAAAAATAGATAAAACTGATCCACACTGGGAACATGAAGGATCTGTGTTAAACAAACTAAAAGGTTTTAAAGATAAAGAAAAGGTAGCAGGAAAGACTGAGGAGAAACACATCTTGATCTTGTTTTAAACACATTCATGTAATTCTTTTACAACCTGCATGCAGAATAATTCATCCTCCTGATTATACTGAGATTAAAGGCAGAAAAGATACTGCAGACTCCGGAGGATTCCCTTTAACTGTTTCATTACAGAGCAATGCTGCCCTCTTCTGTCTGTTTGTGCATTTTCATTAAGACGAGTTGCAGAGTTATTAAAAGTATCACACTCGGCTTTAGGATGCACGGTGGGTACTCTTGCTTCCTCCCACATTGCAAAGACATTCACGTTATGTCATTACAAAATTGCACATTTTGGGACGCTGCTTTGGTTTAAAGTTTGTCATCCCTCAGGGGACACAAGCAGTTGCCTGCCTTGCCTGTTGACAAATTGCACCTTTGATTCTGGAAATTCTACACTTTAGTATATTTCGAAAAAGAATAATTTCAGTAAAATACCTGCACACATATCAACCATCGGTTACAAAAACTGCTCAGTTTGTCTGATGTAACGAAGCCAAGATGGCAGCCTACCAAATGAAGAGCCGTTTGGGAGGTGGCTCTTATTCCTGAGCTGAGCCAAAAGATCCAGATCACTGAACAGAGCCGTAGCTCCCATCTCTAGATACAAATTAATCTAGTAGTGAAATTTGAAAGTTGGAGAAGTGAAACAATTCTATGCTGCATTTTCTGAATGAATATACAAACTTTATTTAAAGAAGAAAATGGGTCCCTGAACACTGTTTAGAGCTAAAAAGCTACCAGGAGAGAGACGGTTTCACTGTTGGGCCCCCCCCACCACCATAACTTCTCTCATAGCATTTTATGTTCAAACAATTACAGGGAAAACATTTTCCTCTGAGGACAGTTTGTGTATAGCGTTATGAACATATACCACAGAATCTGTACACTTCTCTACCAAAACTCCAGAGTGCAGCTTTAAGATACTTCTCCCCTTTGAACCGTATATGTTATACTTTAGAATCATCAGAATAAGAAACAGAAATACTTTATTAATCCCCGGGGATGAACCAGGGCGTTACAGTTACTCTTGAAGAGACTATAAACCTAAATACATGAGATATAAGTATGACGATAGAAGGAAGAAATGTGCAAACGTCAACTATGTGTAGGCTACAATAAACAACAACATATAAATAATAAACTAGATGAGATTAAAGGTAGAAATATAAAAACAACAAGTAGGCTACAATATGTTCAAATAGAAATCTTCCTTTTTATTGATATTGATACTGTGTTGAGGTTTAAGACTAATGCTGCCTTCAAGTGCTCCTCGGGAACATCGTACTTACTATAATAACCATAGACTGTTATGACCTCATACTGCAATAACTAGAGGCCCTTCAAAGTCGTAATTATGAGTGGGAAATTGGGACATTTCAATGATACCCGAGATGCCGTTTGCGTGACGTTTGAGCGCATCATAAATGGGAGAGTTTCAACAACAGACAGTAAAAATATATATTATTATTAATAGTTGCAATATCGTTTATGTTTAGAAGTTCTACATTTTAGTGTCTGTATCTATTAGCTGTAGCTAGTAGGCAAACTTTAACTATAAATCATGGGAGGTGAGCATATTTACATTATTAACAACGTTTACCTGAAGGCTGAAGCTCATTAAATGTTCTTAATTCTGCGACAGAACTTGATGTGTGTGTGTGTGTGTGTGTGTGTGTGTGTGTGTGTGTGTGTGTGTGTGTGTGTGTGTGTGTGTGTGTGTGTGTGTGTGTACAAATGGTAAATACGACGGCTCCATGGAGCACCTGAAGGCAGCATCAACTCCGTTTCTTAATCCACCAATCACAGCTCACTACGAACCATTTCGTGTATTGCTGCCTTTCCAGCCAATCGGCGTCGCCCTTTAATACCGCTGTGACCAATCACAGGGCAGGTTGTTGGCTCGTGCCGAGGAAGTGGACGATTTGTGTAAGTTGTACACAACTGTGCTGACGCTGAGAACAAACAAGTCGCGGTGTTGTCGGTGATTTGTCGGTGTTGAAGTTTTCCGCTGTCAGTCACGCAGCCGCTAACGGAGCAGCTGTGATACCTGGGAGGTTTCGTTGACTCTCCGCTGTCAGGTCGGCGGTGTTTCACCTCCTTTAAGCCGCTCTTCGCTTCACGTCGCCGGGTTGTGCATGGGGGGCCGTGTCGCCGGAGGATGGACGCTTTAACCCGGGGTCGTCATGGCTGCTGTGACGGTACTGCGGTGCACCAGCGGCCGTCTCCTCGGAGGATGGGGCCCGCTGCTGTGTGTCCTCCTCGGCTCTCTGGTGGCCCTCCTGCTGCCCCTGGTGGGGGTGGAGGACGAGTGCTGCGCCGCCCGAAGAGGCATCGCCCTGCTGCGCTGCCAGCTGTGGGGGGCCCCTCAGCAGACTGTGCAGTCCACCAGCCTCACTGTCCCCTTCACTGCGCTTGATGTGCTGCCTCAGAGGTCCAAACCCAGCAAAGGTACAAACACAGGTGTACTCCATGTTCACATACCTGTCCAGTGTATTGTTAATCAGGACCACCTGTGGAGCTCCTGTTGTGTCTCTTTTTCCAATTTACTCTGAGTCTAAAAGATCAAGACCAAGACATTTAGGGACCGAGACCGAGTCAAGACCAAGACCAAGACCAAGACATTTAGGGACCGAGACCGAGTCAAGACCAAGACCCAAGACCAAGACATTTAGGGACCGAGACCGAGTCAAGACCAAGACCAAGACATTTAGGGACCAAGACCGAGTCAAGACCAAGACCAAGACCAAGACATTTAGGGACCGAGACCGAGTCGAGACCAAGACCAAGACATTTAGGGACCAAGACCGAGTCAAGACCAAGACCAAGACCAAGACATTTAGGGACCAAGACCGAGTCAAGACCTAGACCAAGACCAAGACCAAGACATTTAGGGACCAAGACCAAGTCAAGACCTAGACCAAGACCAAGACCAAGACATTTAGGGACCGAGACCGAGTCAAGACCAAGACCAAGACATTTAGGGACCAAGACCAAGACATTAAGGGACCGTGACCGAGTCAAGACCAAGACCAAGATTTGAAGTATTTTTAAAGTTTTGATGCTTTTCAGTTCTACCGATTATTAGAACAGATATTGTTTCACAGTTTGAAATGTTTGCCCCTCATGCTTCATGCTGTGGTTGCAGAGATGCAGCTGGAGGCCAAAGCGGCGCTGCAGCAGGCTCAGGAGATGAAGAAACTGGGGAAGAGGGAGAAGGCCCACAAGCTGCTGGCGCACGCTCTCAGCATGAACCCGGGCTTTGTGGACGCCCTGACGGAGCTGGGGACCATCCTGGAGGAGGAGAAGGACATCGTCCAGGCCGACCACCTCTACACCAAAGCTTTGGCCATCTCGCCGTGTAACGAGAGAGCTCTGGTCAGCAGAGACCGCACGCTGCCCCTGGTGGAGGAGATCGACCAGCGGCACTTCGGCATCATTGACAGCAAAGTGCGCCGGCTTATGTCCATTCCCAAAGGTAACTCCGCTCTCCGCCGCGTGATGGAGGAAACCTACTATCACCACATCTACCACACGGTGGCCATCGAAGGCAGCACGCTCACGCTGTCGGAGATCCGTCACATCATCGAGACGCGCTACGCCGTCCCCGGGAAGAGCCTTCAGGAGCAGAACGAGGCCATCGGTGTGGACGCCGCCATGAAGTACATCAACACCACGCTGCTGTCCAGATCGGGAGCCATGACTGTCGGCGACATCCTGGAGATCCACCGGCGGGTGCTCGGCTACGTGGACCCGGTGGAGGGAGGGAGGCTGCGCACCAACCAGGTGTTCGTGGGGCATCACATCCCGCCGCACCCTCAGGACCTGCAGAGACACATGCAGGAGCTGGTTCAGTGGCTCAACTCGGACGAGGCGCTGCAGCTGCACCCTGTGGAGTACGCCGCTCTCGCCCACTACAAACTGGTGTACGTGCACCCGTTTGTGGACGGCAACGGACGCACGTCGCGGCTGCTCATGAATCTCGTGCTCATGCAGGCGCGATACCCCCCGATCACCATCAGGAAGGAACAAAGAGCGGAGTACTACACGGCGTTAGACACGGCCAACGAGGGCGACGTGCGGCCCTTTATCCGCTTCATAGCCCGATGTACCGAGATCACACTGGACACGCTGTTGATCTCTACGACGGAGCACGCCGTGGGGCTCCCCGGGGCCCAACAGGAGCAGGCCTGTCCCGACTGCAAACAGACCATCCCCATCCACAACTGAGCTGAGAGCTGGAGGAGAAAGGGAACAGGAGGGTTTTTCATTATTTAATAAGAATCCTGACTCAAAGTTTGTTAGATGTCCCACGCTGTCATTTCCTGGTTTCTGCTGGATTTCTTTAAACTGCTGCAGGATGTTCAGTTAAAATCAGGTAAAGGAATCTGCATCTAGGTTTTCTTTAATACCAATACTTTTCCTGCTCGATTAGTAGAAACTAGTGTTGTAGTCAAGACCACAATAACGAGAGCAAGAGTGGTCCAAGACCGAGACAAGACCAAGACATGTAGGGGACGGGTCAAGACCAAGACATGTAGGGGACGGGTCAAGACTAAGACAATAAATATCAGTGGAAAGTCCTCAATTTGTGTGCGCCGGGAATTATTTATGAGTTATTTGTTCTTTTAGAAAGGGTTGTTTTCCTTCTAATCACAGTAATGATGTGGAAATATATCAGTGGTGGTCTTGATTTAAAATCCAGAGACCCAGACGAGACCGATTTAAAATGCTTTTGATTCCGAGACCTTTAAAAAGTGTTTTGGAGAACTACGACACCTGTAGAAACCTTTTGTTCACTCCGAGACTTGAGTGTCCCCCGTCCTCGCCTCGACCCCTTCTTAAAACACTCTGCAGTTTGACCTCTGCTGATGTGTGGACTGAGTTCTCTTGAACTATTTGACTGTTTGAGTGTATAAACCTTAACTTATCTACCTTTGGGAAGCAGGTGATGTTTGATCACACAGTAAAGCACTTTCATTCATGTGATAATTTATTCTATTTTCAAATAAAGAGTTCTCATCACTGACGGTTTATTCTTTAGTCCTTCTTTCAGAATAAATGAAGCTGGGAGCGTCGGAGTGGGATCTTTAACACAACTTTATTTCTTAAAGTTTAACAGAAGAAGAAAAATCACTTTCTTACAGGAAGTACAAACGAGTCGATGATGAAACCAGCAGGAAAATAAACACTGCAACAAAAACCCAAAAAGAACTGTTATCTTCATGAAACATAAAACACTGACTACAGAACAGCGACTCACTCACAGCACTCTAACACCGAACAGGAAACTGATTTTTTTTGGATCAGGCCACAGTGGTGAGAGAAACACATATAGCTTATATCCCGTCTGTCTTAAGATGTTCATCTATTACAAACTACGGCGACCTTCTGAGTATAATCCTGAACGTTCTAGATTTATATTTAAACAGAAAGTTGAGGACTGATCTGGTTCTTAACATGTGCAGACTGAAATGGAGAAACTGCATAGATTCTCTGCTCTCGTGCGGACGATGGTGCTGAATGAAGTCGATCATATAAAAAATAAAAAACTGAAGAGCTTACTGAGGCTTTAAAGGTCACATATTCTCCTCCTATTCATCCAGTTTGAATAAGTCTCAGAGCGCCTGAAAACATGTCTGTGAAGTTTCTTGTTCTGAATCCACTCTGATCCTGTATTTGATCATGTCTATTTCAGCCCTGCTCAGAACAGGCTGTTTCTGTGTCTGTACCTTTAAATGTCTCATCATTGGGGGGCTTGTAGATGGATGAGGGACACACGTTAGAGTTAGACAAACATGGTGAAGTCTATTGTGCAGAATATGTGACCTTTATTAACAACATCAATATCTCGTTAAGTTGTAAAAAGTTTTTTCTCGAGTGAATGTTCTGCAGGTCATCAAAAGTTGACTTTAAAAAGTCGGCAATTTTAATTTCATTGGCCCAAGATGATGCAATCAAATGTTTTTTTTATTGTCCAAACAATGATCTTAGTGCAGAACAGAAAAATGACCGCATTGTTTATTTTAGACTTTGAACAATTTAATATTTTTTTAAAAGTTCCAGATGCTGATGGCCTAGCGGTTAAGTCACACCACCATGTACAAAGGCTGTAGTCCTCTGAGCAGAGGAACCGGGTTCGAATCTGAGCTCTGTTTTCTGGTGATAACGAGTACACTTAGTTTTTTTTCTAGAGTCCTCGACTACTTGTCAGGTTATCTTGAGACAACAACGCTGGCTTTCCTGTGATAAAAGGATAATTTGTCGAGATCTCAAGAAAGCTGCTAAAAAAATGATCGTGGGTAAAACCAGCGTTGTTAAGAAACAAAAGATCTCAAGAAAATGTTTTCGTTCTCACGGGGGAAAAAGTCTTAAAACATCTGGATGCACATCCGCTTCGGGCTTCCAGATTGATCAACTTCTGAAACTTTTCAAACCCCAAAGCAAGCGCTCTCCTGTTTATTGTATCTCTTTGACTTTAACCAGGTAATATGTGGGGGTGGTACTTTTCTCTCCAAATCTCTTAAGCCCTGTTTCCACCACACGGTCTGGTTCAGTTCACATTCATTGGCGTCTCCACTGTCAAAAGTTGGTTAAGGATACCAAAATAACCGATCCCTTTTTCTGCTTCCCTTCTGTCAGGGTGTCGGGCGTACTGATCCGACCCTACAGGGCGGAGCTAGACACACTGTAGTCCGTTGATTGGTCGAAAGAATAGTCATTTCCTGATCAACAGTGATAATAAAGGTCAAACACAAATATCACCATGTTTGAATATCCTGTGGATGTTAAGAGTCATTGCGAGACTGTTTTTTTTTTAAACTCCTTTCAGCGCGTAACTCGGCCTGATGGACAACCTCTGAGGTTTAGCAGAGTTTACTGTTACCAAACCAGACCGCTTGGTGGAAACTAACATCACTGGATGTTTTTTTTTTTTTTTTAACGTGAACAGACTGCTCGTACCAGCAGAGATGAGAGATGATGAGACTGCAGATGTGAAAACACGACCACAGATATCAAGGTTTAGAAGTTTGATATTCGGGCAGATTTTATAATAAGATGAAGCCATGAAACTCAAACTTGTTAGCAGGACACTACAACGCTATAGCAGCATAATATCGATAGTTAACAGTCCACTAAATCAGAGATGATAGTTAAATAAAGAAAACAATAAATCACTGCTAGCCCTGCTGCCGAACATCTTCAGAAACCCTCACATTAATCAGAGAAACCCAAAAAATAGTTGAATTTTTTTTGTCAATAAAGTTCAACACGCACACACGCGGTGGCTGGAAAGCACAAACCAAAATTACAAAGTGTGAAACACTTCTGCAAAGCTTGAGACAAATTTACATTAAAACTTTTTTTTAATAAAATTAAAAGTTAACTCCTGAAAATGTCTCTAAATGTTCAGTGTGAGCTGCAGGTGTGAATACCAACAGCAGCATTTTTCAGCCCGACTTTTACCGGCTAGCCACGAGTCAAATTTCTGCATCAAGTTGAGTTGAGACGATGTGTGAACACATCAGGAAATCTTCAGGAAGATTCCCAGCAAGCGACTGAATTTAAATTTTTTAAAGCACATTCACAAGACGCGAAACGCTTTGATGAGCACTAAGACAAACATATAAGTGACAGAACACTTTCACAGACAACAGAATCTCACCGGAGAGGGACTGTACCAAATGTGACCCAGGTGTGACTGAGTGAACGAGTGAGGTCGTTCGTTTTGATGGAGAGACGGCGTTAACCGTCTCAAGGGAGTTCCAAGAAAAAGGATAAAACATTCGTTCAGCATAAACTCCATACAACACATTTTGCACGGACGCCAAAACAAACTACTTGACCCCTCACTGAGTCACTTTTAGCATTTGGTACAGTCCCTTCATGGCCAGATTCTTTCTTGTCTAAAATGTGTTTTCTGAAATGTCAGTTTTTTCTGTCCTTGGTAAAAAATGTTTCAGACTTTGTAATTGTGGTTTGAACTTCTCAGCCACCGTGTACACACACACACGCACGCACAGCCTTTCCAAACAAATGTGTCTGTTTGGACTCTTGTAAAAAAAAAAAAAACTCTTCCCCACGGTCTTCTCAGCTCTACTGAACATGACACCACAGAAGAAGAAGACACTTTGCAACATGAGGCGAACAATTTTAGGTACAGTATATTTACACACAAATATCATACACTTTGTTTTTTTTTTTAATATAAAACAGCCTGTTGGCCATCTGGAAAGAAAACGAAATAAAAGTCAACCTGCCACGCTGATGAAATGTCCTGGTTGAAATGTTTTATAATGGAGGGCAGGAAGTGGCGAGATTAGGGCCGAACACACGATGAGAAGGAGATTAAAGGGAAGCCGGATATCCAATCACAGAAAAATCACCAACACTAATTTGTAAGGACACACGATGGCTTTCAGTGCGCAGGCGGTTAAACCTCTCTCTCCCTCGCCTTCTCACTTGCTGAGAAGCATTCTGGCAAAGTCCGAGTTTGACAAAGGTTTCGTCTCTCCGGCTGCATTCGCCGCCTGGCCGCCTGACGTCGTCCCGTTCTCCACTTTGCCCACAGGAGCGCTCTGTCTGTGCAGCGAGCGGGGGAGTAAGGAGAGCTGGGTGCGTCCTCGTCCTCTCCTGGAAAGAGAAACAACAACCAGCTCACTTTCTGTAAAGTTACACATCATGGTACGTGTGTCTTTCACTACAGTACTGTTGGCGTGATTTATAGCTTTTTCACACATGCACATAACTCCTGAAAACTTCTCTAAATGTTCAGGGTGTCGGGGGCGGGGGGCTCTCTCCAGTGTTTAGACTTTGGACTGCAGTACCCATTTTAAACACTAGGTGTCAGAGTTACATATTGCTCCTTTAATACCGCTTAAAAAATAAAAACAAGGCTTCATGTCAGTGAGTGAAAATGGCTTTAGTTCGTTAACTTACGATCCATAGGCCTGACGGGGCATCAAGTCTGCCATGTCCCTGCTGGAACCAGGTCTATCACTGAGGTTTCTGCGCGGAGGGTTGCTAATGGCAACAGTGATCTTGTTGCCCTCTATTTCCATGCCGTCCATTTTTAAAACCGCCTGAGAGGCCTGAGCCTCATCTGCAAACTCCACGTAAGCCAGACCCTGCAGAGAGAACGTTTAATCGTTAACATCAGACTCGGCTCAGTATTTTTCAGACTCACACCCGGGCGCCGGCTCCTCCTCGCTATGACTCACCTTGGGTTTTCCTGAGCGATATGTGACCAGACGAACTTCTTTGATGACACCGTGACTCTTGCAGACTTCCTCCAGCTGCTCCTTGGTGCAGGAGAACGGCAGCCCAGAGATGAAGATTTTCTGTTTCTCCAAGGTGATGTTGTATTTAAACACCTACAGAGACAGAGACAGGAAGGGTCAGAGGTTAAGTTTCAAGGTTTCAGCAGAATTATTTCAGACTTTTAAAACCACATAGAATTTACATATCCATCAATACAAGCTGAAGTATGAAAGAAAACCAGTTAATGTGTTTTGACCTAGACTTATTGGTTGTGTCCGACATCACACACTCACTCCTACTCACTACATGGGGACTTATATGTGGACTATAGTGAACTCAATCTGCACAATATAAAAAAACATTTCTGACACTACTCCCTCACTAGCCGGCCGTCGACAGTGACTAAAACGTGTAACTTAACCCTTAGACTCTGGTCTCGTGTCAAACTTACGTTACTCCATTGAGAATCTTTTAACTTTTGATTAAATCAGACGATAGATTTCAGTAGAAAAGTCTCCAAATATGAACTCATTTGTGCTTTCTGTTCATGCTAGTCGCTCCTCTCGTCCACGCTACGCTCACAAAAAGCTTTGAACTACAATAAAGTCTATCTATCTAACTAACTGCAATGCATGATGGTATATATTGCAGTCAGCGAGTCACATACACATCACTTCTCAGACGAGTCATAAATAAACACTTGATATGATGCACCAAGACTCGCTCCCAAAGATGCATCCATTTATCTGCTTGCTTGGAGGCTTGAAACTTGATGGTGTTCTTGAATTTGCATAAAGCAAATAAATAAGTTTATCTTTAGACACAGCCTTTACTCATCACATTTTTTTACCTACTCCCCGCTGTATCAAACAATAATGTCTACTGAGAGGAGAAAATCTATGTACCTCTGAACCAGTGGTCCAAATGAGGTGAAGCGGAAGGACTGAGAAAACTACTAAAATGGCTAACTTTGGGCGCCAGTTTAGCTCGGTGGTTTAAAATAAAAAAGGCTTCAGGACTCTTTACTGACCCAGGATCAGCGGAAACTGAGACCGCTTTACAGACTCGTGCACGTTAGGTTCTTTTTACCATTAAATAAAACGGCTAATCTAGGGTGTCAGGGGCCCGGGGTCTAACTCTGTGACCCTCCACCATTTGCTTCATGTCACCCCGACTATCTCCTCACTCTACTTCCTGTCTCTCTTCAGAGGTCTAATCAATAAAGAGAAAAAATAAACCACTAATCCATTTAAAAACCATTGAATAGTAAATCTGGGACATTTGGAGTGTAATCATCGAGTATTTTGGTTCAGATAAAAATAAATGTCCTCTGTGTTCATGTTTACCTTAAAGTCCGGGTTCTTGTTTTTGTCGACACAGGGCGACACAAACATCGGCCTGCCCTCCACCTCCCGTCTGTCCAGCTTCAGCGCTTCGGGCACGGACACCGGAGACTCAAACTGAAGGTAGCCGTATCCTTTGAACGTCCCTTTGGTGCCGAAGACGGGGCGGATCTGTTTGATGGGGCCGCAGATCTCAAACAGCGTCCTGAGCTTCTCCTCGGGCTCCTCCAGCGTGTACATCAGGTTGCTGATGAACACGCTGCTGTCGTCGTTGCGGAGCTCTGGCTTGTCGTCGCTCCTCTTCGGGGCGTCTCCCAGAGCGCCGTGTTGGGCTTTTTTAGCGCCGGGAGGAGCAGGTTTATATCCGGGCGGAGGTTTCCTCCCGAACTGACCCGCCTCCGTCTCCATGGACTCCTCTGTAGTTTGATCTCTGTTTCCTCTTTGTCTTTTGGGAGCTTGTTCTATTCACACAGGGAAACAAACACGATTTATCAAAACTGTATTTTGATAAATTATTCTATCTGTGTGTGTAAATAATCAATAAATCAATCAAACTTCTTTATTAAAATAAAGATCTCTTTCCTTCAAACCAGCGATCTCAAATTTTTAACCACACCGTTCACACAAACTTACCCGGGTCTTCGTTCCACTCGTCGTGATAATCATCCTGCTCCGCTTTCCTCTTCTCCCCGACTCGACTTCCCTTCTGGAACTTCTTCTGAACCTTCTTCTCTGACTTGGCTTTCCGCCTGTTATCATTTCTCTCGTCCTCTTGGCGAGCCATGTTGGCTTCTTTCTCGGCCGCCTACCAGATGGATAACAGAGAGGAACATGAGCCTGAAGCGGCTGAATACACTCACAGGTACAATGCTGACATGCTGTGTGTGTGTGTGTGTGTGTGTGTGTGCGTGTGCGCTCCTACCTTCGCTCTCTGCTCATTAACCCGGTTCAGCCGAGTCCCCGTCTTCTGCACGGCCATGTCCCAGTCCTCCAGAGACCCTGAGGATTGTCAAACACACAGACGAGCTGTAGTTAATCAAATTCAGTTTAACGCTGATGTGAAACCTTTGACTCCTCAGAGTGTTTGGACTCACCCTCGACTCTCTCAAAGGTCAGCAGGACTTCACACACGTGCTCGGGGTAGTCGGAGGTGCACTGGACGGCTCTGTGGAGAGCTTTCCGACAGTGAACGGGGTCTCCATAAGACCTAGAAAGTTAAATTATCATTAAAACTTTAAAGGCAACTTAGACGAGTTTTGTCCAATCGGTGGGTTTTAAAGGACTCAGACGTGGACTGACAAACCTCTCCAGGTTGTAGTACTCCAGCCACATGTTGGCGTATTTGGCGTTCCCCTTGGTCATGATGCTGTCCCACAGTTCTCTCGCCTTTTGGATGTTCTTGCAGTGAAGGGCCTGACAGGGAGGCCAGAAAATTAAATGTTTAACATTGAAAGTTTAATAGTAAGAGACCATTTTTATACTTTCCTTTTAGCCTTTTAAACACTCATCATGGAGATCAAATAATTACTTTTCTTTAATTGTATGATCGAACTTTAACCGTCTTCAGCCTCAACACTCTGGGAAAATTATATGATATGATAAACTTTCCTGAGGGGCAACTGTGTCACAGTAACCAGCCCAGGATGTAAACCACCCCGCCCCCCTCGCCCCAACTAGGGGACATATTTTAGACGCTGGTGTATATCTTGGTTTAGGCTCATGCTCAGAACATTTCTTAATATTTAATCATATTGTGTTTTGTATTATTTTACAGGAGACATTCTTCACTTTCACTCAAGTTCTTCAAAATGTGAATCTTTCTGACAAATATTGAGGTACCTGTGGTTCCTTAAATAGTCAATGACACTTTTTTTCCACAATTTTTGCCTGAAATAATTGTTTTCTTTCAGCCCTGTGGCTTCTAGGAACATCGGGGAGGAGGGGCATTACTGTGTCATATTCTAACTTTGTTCAAAGTTGATTTAAATGGACAAACTAAATATCTTTGTCTTTCGATTCAAAATGTCTGCTGCTGCTCAAACAAACAAATATAACCTCCTGCTTAAGATAGAATAAAAACACACACAAAACTACATTCTATAAATGGTTAACAAAAATTCAACACAACGGACACAACTCTCTCTACAAATGGTCGTCATAGTAACAGTGCTTACCTCTATCCTGGCCCAGTTCTGCATTATAAGACAAGAAGGATCTCCACTTTCACCGAACCCTGCAGTGAAGAAAAACACAATGAATGATCTGAACGCCAAACGAAGCGAAATCCCCCCAAAACATCCAGACCTCAATGAGACCTCAGTCCACCTACTCTCTTCAACGTCCTGCTTCATGTAGTCTAAAGAGCGAGAGAACGCTCCCCGCAGCTCCTCCAACTCTTTACTTGATTCTGCAAAAAAGGGGAAAAGAGCGTCAGCAAGGTTCCAAATTGGAGGCCCTTTATTTACACAAACACACACACACACAAACACACACACAGAGGTGCTCTCACCTTTACTGAAATCCACACGTCTCCTCAGGTAGTCCAGGAACGCCTGCCAGATTTCTACATAATCTGTCGCTTGAATGAAACCCGCATTCAGCGCCTTTTCGAACACATCTGTGAGGAGGACAATCATAAGTATCAAAAGAGACTCGGGGTCAGAGATGAAGGAGAATTGTAGTATGAGGAATTCAAAAGGTTCGGCATCAAACATTCTTAGTTTTGCATCTTTGCATGTCAAAGTCACAAATACTGAAGAACCTGAAAATACTTCAGAACTACATGAAATTAAAATTGTAGCAATGTGTGTATCCTGAATACATTATTAAGATGCAAAGAGATGCCTTCAAAATCCACAGAAACTGTCATGGCTCGCTGAGGAGCAAAAATAACTTCTATAATAAAGATATATTTTTATTTGGCTGCTCTGTGACTCCCCTAGTTAGCCTGATAACTGTATGTGAGTCTTGAATGAACCAGCTGCAACGTGTTACCTGAAACTGTGTGGTGGTCCGCTCCGTGCCTCTCCAGAGCCAGCAGGTAGCTCTTCCACAGGCCCATGGTCCAGGGACAGTTCCTGACAGCTCGCTCATGAGTGGAGAGAACCAAGTCTTTAATCTTCAGCTGACGATCCTGCAGAAGAGAGAGAGTGAGGGGGGAAAAAAAACAAGATGGTCAGAATGATCCTAAAGATGTTTTGACTTTAAAGATGTTTATATTTCTACCCCTTTAAGGACAGAGCGACGACTAACACCGAGCAGCACTCACCAGATAATTGTTGTACTTCGCCCACATGTCTGGTACCAGGCAGTTCTCCGCCATAGTCCGCTCAAAGGTGATCTGGACCCGAGCTGGATCGCCCTCCTTCAGTTCAAAGTCGAGGTAGGCCTGATACTCCGCCAGCTTAGGAGTTTCTGCTACCAGCTGAAAGAAGACCACATGTGTGAGTTACACACCGATGAACTGAGCCCGCTGGTTAAATTCATCAACGTGGGAAAACTGCAACAAGACGTTTAAAAGAGTTACCAGAGAGTCCTCGAAGGGTTTGCACTTTGCCATCTGCAGCGAAGCCTTTTTGTACTGATGTGCGGCCGTCTCAGGCACGCCGTCTTCCGACCACTCTTCATACTCTGCATAGGTCGCCTCCATCTCTACAAAGCAACAGCACACATTTCAGTCAAATATTTTAAGGCACTTTTCATGGATAGTTCAGAAATAATAAATCAAAAAGGAAGTGATGTCGTTCTGAATATCAGCCCTGCAGTGCTGTCGAGTGTTGCCGTAACCAAGGTCAGCCATCATCATAGTATCTATGAGTACATTTTTATTGATCCAGCGACAGCGCAATATTAGTGTCCCAGTCTTGTCCCGGCAGCAGAAGCCAGACTCTCGGGTAGACCTAGCTCCCCCAACCTTCAGCCAGGTGATCTGACACTAATACCACCCGACGTCCCTGACGCCCCGATTACACCTCTGCCACATTCAGATTGAAGGTGGGACGTCACAGGGGGCGTAAGCGGCGGTCTGAATAGGGCTCCAGTGATGACATCATGACCTCGAGTGTGACATTACTTTGACACAACAATCATATGAACGCCAAAATAGAAGTACAAGACACATTCAATCAGAAGATTTTGTTTCTCCAACATCGAAACTGAAACGTGACTGTTGCCAAGCAACCCCAACATTCTCCTGCACTCTTTCTACTAGTTTGTTTCCATGGTTACCATTTACTGACTACTTTGAATTGTGTACATTTGTTTGAATTGATCATGAAACCAGTGAGGTTGATTGAAAAAAGACAAAACTGTCTGCTGTTCTATTCACCGACTGTATTCAGGTGATCCGGCTGAGGCAGAGTGATACAGCACTCAAGTAATATGTCTCGTCCAATCAGATTGCTTGGTCAGACCACATACAGTAGGAGTAACTTGCTTTGGAAAACTAATTATCATTTCACACTAATCCCTCAAGGTATTTTATCTTTTTGAATAAGGTGGACATATGGTCCCTCACAACAGGTCTCCCGCCCGCTTCAGAGCAGGCCGTCTGGACAGAAGTGGCGTCACACTCACCCATTAAGGGAATGGCCAGCTGGCGGCGAAACAGAGTATGGATTCTCCCGAGCTGAGCGTTCAGCAGCTCTTTCTCCTCGCGGCTGGGGATCCTGCCAGGGGGAGGCTGAGAGGAAAACACAGCCGGGACAATTAAGTCAGAACATTCAAATTCAGCGTCTTAAATATTTGCATTTATTCTGAGTTCAGTGAGTGGATTTTCATTTCAAGGTGTCTTTATTATTAACAGATGAAGGGACAGAGTAATTCCCTCAAACTACAATCTATCAATTATCCATTTCTCACATGCACCCCTAAAAAATGTCTAAGAAAGTTCAGGACAGCATTCCCCTGAAATCCTCCTGAGCTGCTCTTTTAAAACCGGTTTAAACCGTACGACTGTGGAAGTTTCACCAAGTTTGGATAAAGTCAGGGTGAAACATTCGGCCATCTGCAGCAACACGTGCAGCTTAGCCCGAAAAATTCAGGACATTTTAGGAGCTTCGTGCACGTGTAAACAGAACATGTTTCTCTACATATACAATCTCAAAAAGTCTCTCTGACACACGTAAACAAACATCAGATTAAAAAAGAATAACGTCTCTCCTAGTGACGGGAAACACTGACCTGTAGTGTGGACAGGATGGCGTTTTCAAACTCCCTGTACGCCTCCCACACAAACTGTCCCTTGGTCATGTGAAGCCCCACAGCTGTCACAGCTCGCTCAAAGATGGCTCTCACTTTGTCGATTCCCCCCGGGGAGCCCATGCCACCGATTGAATACTGAGCATACTCCAGCCAAATGTCTGGACCTGAGTGCGAGGAGATAAAAATGTTACAATCCTGTAACGGGACGATGACAAATCAAATCAAACAAGGCGAGAAAAAAATGAAACGATGCACTCACAGATGTAGTCTTTCACAGCTTTCTCAAAGAGTTCATAAACTTTCTCCCGGTTTGGCTCCTCTTCACTCAGGCGGATCTCGTCTTTCAGCCAATCCAGCCAGATCTCTGAGGGATTAGACAGCATGTGCTTGAGGCTCTACATATCGCAGATCTTTATTACCGTAAAACTGTGTAAGAGCTGCACCAACCTTCGGTGAGCGGGAACAGCTCACTCATCTTCTGCCTCGCCTTTCGCAGACGCAGAAGCTCGCCCTCCTGCTTCAGAAGTTTGATGAGATCCACGTGGCAGTTGTAATCAAAGGCATTGATCGACAGCTGGAAAATACCAAGAAGATGAAACGTAGGTAAGACACGATTTAATAAATCCTCATGAACTGATGTTTTTACTGAGCAGTGACACAAAACTAAAACCAGTTTCTTTATCAGGGCGACAAAAACTACAGGTCCAAACTTCTGCAGCAGTTAGTGGTTAAAGAAACGATTGATCTTCTGATACAAATGATAATCACAATAACGGAGTCGGAGAGAGTTTCATATTTAAAACACGAGGTTTAGAAAAGTATAACATTTTGTCAACCTGAGCAGAGATTCAGTTGCAACGCCGCCGGTAAACTTTGTTATCGATGTAAAAATACTTGCCTGCCTGGTATGCTTTATAGTTCAAAATGTACTTGCTTGCTAATACATGCATACACTAAAACTACAACAAAAAATTAATGCTAGCTACTATGAGAAAAATACTGATATACATTTGCATGTTTTATTCTCAATTGTTGACAGCTTCCAAGATTTCCTTCATTTTTGCTGACCTGAAACATCACAACTCGGAAACTCAGGTACCAACGTCATTTGTGTCAATGTCCCACTAGTAATTAGGACTTTCGGAGGGGATTCATCATGTGCTCATAACTCATAATTACTCAATTAGACAACTGACTTCCAAGGAGCACATGAAAGCAGCATAAGTAGCACAAAAACATTGCCAACAAGTTTTCTTCATTCATTTCTTATGCACCTGTCTTGTCTTATTAAATATATGTATTTTTTTATTCCAAAGCTTCAGTACTGTTTGACACTTTCAATAAAGGAGATTGTATCGTTTAAAAACTCTACTGGCCATCCTCGGGACTGTCCCAGAAACCATGAAAAGCAGAAACAAGATTTATTTATTACATATACTTCTCGTAGCAGCCAAGAAGGCAATAACATTGAACTGGCTTAAGAGAGACCCCCCCCCCACTTTCAGACTTACGTTTCTGTCTCTATTTAGTCTTTTTAGTGCACCTGAAACTGTGTTTACTGTCGAGTTCGGTGCTGGCGGCGGATCGTCACTCAAAAACTCTCCCTTTTCTTAAATCAGTTTCACAACTTTTACATTTTTTTTTTTTTTTTTTTTTTAATGTAAAAGTTGTGACCCCCCCCCCCCCAACCCACGAGTCTTGGAAATTAGTTGTCAAAGGAATTTACATAATGGAAAAGATAACTTTCAAAGTAAGACTGCAAAATGCAAAATTTCTTGACAGATGGTTTCCATGGCAACACAGTGATGGAGGATGTTTAGATACAGGTTGGCAAGAGAAAATGTGGTGATATCTTAATTTAATAAAATATAAAATGAATAGGGGATGTTTGTAAACACTGAAATGACATCATGGTTATGTCCTTGGTGATGTGTGTGTGTCACTTTTTTTGTTTTGGTCTGTTTTGTTTTGGGTTTGCGTGTGTGAGTTTTTTTTGTTTTATGTGGGTTGCTTGTTTTTTGTTGTTATATTTTTCAAAAAATAAAAAATAAATAAATGAATGCAAAACAAAAAAACACGTGGTGTGAAAGGTATCGTACAACCTTAACCACTGAAGTGTAACACAGGTAACGTCTCAGTATCATTATGGACTTTGTTATGAGTGGTTATAAATCAAATATATCATACTTAAAACACAGTAAAGATCAGGCTGTGTACTTTTATTTGTGTACTTTTGTTTGCAGGTTCTCAGAAAGCGGAGTTTAAAAACGGCGCCTGAACACACCATTAGCATCACAGCTAATCATGATAGCTACGAAAATTATGTCGTAGCACACGCACTCGTTTAAATATTACTATAACAAATTAATAACCTCACAACCTGAGTAAATTAAACAAAAGAATGGCAGAGAAACTCAAACGTCAGTGTATCTGACAGTGTTTCCCACCCATTCATTCTCGTTAGCTCCTCGGCTAATGTTAGCTTGTGTTAATAAGCTCGGTTAATTACCTGCTCCTCTAAACGCTGGATTTCAGCTTCGTTTTCTTTCTCATCTTCAGACGAGTCGTCCTCTTCGTCGTCTGAATTTTCTTCTCCCATGCCGTCCTCCTCCCCTTCGTCCGAGTCCATCTCCCTCTCCTCCATCCCCGCATCTTCCTCGTCCATGTCCTGCAACTGCGTTTGCTCTGCGTTGCTCGACGCCGCCATGTTGGAAAGTTCTGTCTGCCTGGTAACAAGCTAACAAACCCGGGGGAGTGTCGCGAGAGGTGGAGCCTGCTCACACCGGGGACAGTATGGAGGACGAGATCTGACAGAAGTATGAATAAATAAATAAATAAATGTATAAATAAATACTGGAATAAATAAATAAATAATTAATTAAATGCGTGAATAAATAAATAAATAAATGTATAAATAAATACTGGAATAAATAAATAAATAATTAATTAAATGCGTGAATAAATAAATAAAAACTGGTAAATAAATGGGACATAAATAATTAAATGCCTTAAATTTATTTATACATTTATTTATTTCCACATGTATTTGTTTATACATTTATTTATTTCCATATTTATTTATTTCTACATTTATTTATTTCCACATTTACTCATTTCTACATTTATTTATTTCTACATGTATTTATTTCCACATGTATTTATTTCTACATGTATTTATTTCCATATTTATTTATTTCCACATTTACTAATTTCTACATTTATTTATTTCTACATTTATTTATTTCCACTTCAACCGGGAGACTGCTGGCACTGGCAAAATGACTGCTGTTAGTTATATTATCTAACGGCATACTCAAAATAAACTCACAGTTCTCAAGCTGGTCAGCAACTTCCCGCAGAAGGTCTGCCAGCAGTCTCTCGGTTGAAGCCATGCTAGTCTGCTTTATGTCAACAGAAAGTCTCGCTAGGAATAAATCTGACTGGATCGCTCAGTTGACCAATCCTGAATGAGACTGACATTAGTCCCTCCTACCTCACGGACACTGAAATGTAGAAATAAATAAATGTAGAAATGAGTAAATGTGGAAATAAATAAATATGGAAATAAATACATGTAGAAATAAATACATGTGGAAATAAATACATGTAGAAATAAATAAACGTAGAAATGAGTAAATGTGGAAATAAATAAATGTAGAAATAAATACATGTGGAAATAAATACATGTAGAAATAAATAAATGTAGAAATAAATAAATGTGGAAATAAATACATGTAGAAATAAATGAACGTAGAAATGAGTAAATGTGGAAATAAATACATGTAGAAATAAATAAATGTAGAAATAAATAAATGTGGAAATAAATACATGTAGAAATAAATACATGTAGAAATAAACAAATGTAGAAATAAATAAATGTGGAAATAAATAAATGTGGAAATAAATACATGTAGAAATAAATAAATGTAGAAATAAATAAATGTGGAAATAAATACATGTAGAAATAAATACATGTAGAAATAAACAAATGTAGAAATAAATAAATGTGGAAATAAATACATGTGGAAATAAATACATGTAGAAATAAATAAATGTATAAATAAATAAATGTGGAAATAAATACATGTAGAAATAAATACATGTATAAATAAATAAATGTGGAAATAAATACATGTAGAAATAAATGAACATAGAAATTAGTAAATGTGGAAATAAATACATGTAGAAATAAATGAACATAGAAATAAATAAATGTGGAAATAACTACATGTAGAAATAAATAAATGTAGAAATAAATTGAAGACATTTAATTATTTATGTCCCATTTATTTACCAGTTTACATTTATTTATTCACGCATTTATTTATTTATTCCAGTATTTATTTATTTATTTATTTATACTTCTGTCAGATCTCGTCCTCCATACAATAGCACAACGTGTAAGGGATCCAGTCAGCCGCTAGAAGGGGCTCTTTCCTCCGTACAGCCTTCCCCCTTCACTTGTTTGTCAATAAAAGATCTTCGTCCTCACTCGGGTGGACTCGTTGATTTCCGCTCGTCGTCGCAGTCTGAACCCGAACATGGCGATGGTCTCCTTACGAAACTCTGCGTCCTCGCTGATGTTGTTCAGCAGAAGGTTGTTCAGCCCTCAGCTAAACGCGCTCTGCTCATATCACGAAAAGGTAAACAATTGTCCTTTTAAACTGTCAACTCGTTTTAAAAACGAGCTACCATGTAAAGCGTTTTAATATAGTTAGCATTAGCTTCGCATGTTGTCTGTCAGGAGGTGTAACTACTGTTTTATGTTTTCAACCCGCCGTGACCACATTCAATAAAGCGATAAAAGGTAATTGTCTGTTTCTGTCTTTCAGGTGGTGGACCACTATGAAAACCCAAGAAACGTGGGCTCTTTAGACAAAAGCAGCAGGAATGTGGGGACTGGGTTAGTGGGCGCACCAGCCTGTGGAGATGTCATGAAACTACAGGTAAGCTGGAGGTCAACAACAGTCATGACTCTCTGCCTTATGTTGCACAACCAGGTGTTTGACTCCAGTGTTGTTTTTCAGATCCAGGTAGATGACAATGGAAAGATAGTCGACGCAAAGTTCAAGACGTTTGGCTGTGGATCAGCCATCGCCTCCAGTTCTCTTGCCACAGAGTGGGTGAAGGGGAAGTCGGTGAGTTGACAACATGGGAAGGAAAGGCGGACACTGGTGTGACAACTTCTGCTTTTTGTTGTCCAGTAACTTGATGAGTCTGCTGTCACGCTGTAGGTGGATGAAGCGCTGAAGATCAGGAACACAGACATCGCCAAAGAGCTCTGCCTTCCTCCGGTCAAGCTGCACTGCTCCAGTAAGTTGAAAACAAAACGATTTTAAAGATTACCCCCAATAACACAACCAGAACATCATCTCTGCTGCTTGACAAAGATCACATAAAGAAGCCATAACGTTTCAGTCCCTTTGGACCTTTGTCATGTGTGGTCTCTGACGAAGATCCAGAGGGACTGATTGTGGCTTTTTCTGATAAATGTTGATGCTGAGAGTAGTGTGCAGGATTTTCTCTTCTCAAGATTATATATATATATAATCCTACGTCCTCTGCACCGACTTCATGAAATAGTTTGATGTGCGAACGCCTTTAAAAGCGATGACCACAGCCGTTTTCATACATGCACTCCTGAAAATATCTAGAACATTTCAGCAGAGCGGCTCATGAAGTTCTCCCGTCCTGACTGTTCACACTCGACTCACACTTTCTGCAGAAAAAAACGAGTCTGGCAGGAGAAACAGTGACAAATTTGGCTGTTTGCCTTCACACATGCAGCTCCTCCTGGAAATATGAGGAGATATTGAGGAGATTTCTTTAAGTGTGAAAGCCCTATACGAGAGGATTTATCACCATCATCCACAATGATAATCCTTCATTTGGGTTTAATAGCGAGGGTGATGACATTGTCCAAATAAATTCAAATCTCCCATGTGAGCAGATGAATTAATCATTTAGTTTGTCATTTTGTTAGTACTGTTTGGTTGATGAGGCCTGTTTGAAGATAACGGTTATCAGTGCAACATTTTAAAATCTGTATAAGATCAATAAACAAGTGGACGGTCTGGACCCACTCTGTACTCTGCAGACACACTCGTGCTCTGCAGGTGAATCAAAGAGAGAGATGACCGCTCTTAAGTCTGTTCGTAAATCTGTGGGATTAGGAACGTTTTAAAAACTTATTTAAAATAGGAGTTGTGTTTTTGGGCGACTTTATGAAACATGGGAGAAGAAACATTTAGGAGAGAGAACGAGGCGGGACACACAGCGGTGTGCATTAAAGAGAGGACAGTGTGTGTGTGAGAGAGTCAGTCGTTTGATTCCCCAGCTCCTGCAAGACACTTAACCACACGCTGCTCCCGCTGCTTCATCGACAGCGTATGAACGGATGAGTTATTTCTGATGGTCACTTCACATATCAGTCTCTACCATCAGTGTGTGAATGTGTTGGTGTGACCTGAGGTCTAAAAGTGATTTGAGTCATCAGAAGACTTGAAAACAAATGAACAAGCTCAGGTCCATTTTACTAAATGGGACCTGCGGGGAAGCGAGGTTAGTGATTTACTAATTTGTGATCAAATGCTACATAAAGTTGAAGAGGAAACATACAACCTCCCCTAATAGAAACAGCATGGTGTCTTTATGTATTTCTTCACATATTTTCATGAGGCGACCCCCAGTTGCTGCTCGCATCAGATTTAAAACTCTGCCGCAGCGACAAACGCGCCTCATCCAGGTCTACGCTCTGCCAATGAAAGGCGTCCGATCAAACCGTCAAAACCATCAGACATGGATTTCTTTTTCCTGCACTACATGCATTCATCCTCACGGTGCATCAGGGGCCTTTTGGTGTTTTGGTTAGATTAGATATAAGTTTTTTTTATTTTCTCACAAAACCAACCACCAACCTTTCTGCACATTTCTTAAATTAAAATCTATTTCATCCTCCTCCTTAAACCCTTTTCACCCCTTTTTCTTTCTCAGTGCTCGCAGAAGACGCCATCAAAGCAGCGCTGTCAGACTACAGAATTAAACAGCAGGACAAGAAGGAGGACCGGGCAAAAGCTACAAATTAATGTGTTTTTATGTAACAAGCTGAGTCAGCCTCATGATGTGATCCATCACTGCAATGCTGTTTGGAAGATTGGTTACCGACTACATCCTGTGTTTGGGAGTTAACCCTTTACAAACCAAATTATTTAGAGAATTGTTATAAGTCTGGGGGGGTGAGAGTTTAATTTTTCATCACGTCATCTTCTCTTTATTGACGCTGGTTTTGGAGTTGCAGTGAAATGAGGAATATTTTATCACATTACAAACCTTGAATTTTTTGTTTTTCCGCTCATTAAACAACAGACGCATTATAAATCAGAAAGAATTAGTCAGTGTGTGTTTTTGCTTTCTGTTTCTTTTGGCATTCAGGTTTTTTATTTGGCTTGTTGTGTAACATCTCTGCTCCCTCGTGGAGGATTCTGTATGAAAATGCAGCTCTGATAAAAGTTCACATACAAAAGCCTGATACAGAATATTCTTGAATTAAACATTTAAAAACTCTTTGAACGTGTCTCGCTGATGTCATCCACCCGACCCTGCGTCCAGCGGCGCCACCCTCCGTCTCTGCAGGAGGACCTTCTTCAGGACGAGCAGCACCGCGAGCATTACGAGAGACACTAACACGCACAGCACGGCGAGCAGAGCGATGATGACTGCAGAGTCTTCTTGTTGTG